CGGGGATTGAACTCAGGCCCTTGCGCTTGCCAGGGAAGCACTTATTCCACTGAGCCATCTCTCTGGCCCCTGCATCAAGTTCTATACTGTAACACTCACTGAAGCGTTAGTAGTTTTCAACTTTAAATTTTTTTTTCCTTTTATGTATTTGCTAGAGGGTCTCACTAGGTAGCTCAGACTCGTAGTGATCCTCCTGCACTACCACACCCAGACTCAATCACCAGGTCAGCACATCCTGTGGACAGGGCCAGCGTGGCATACAGGACGGGTACCGAACCCTGGTCCCTGCTCTTGCCAAAGCAGGCACTTAGTCCACTGAGCTATCTCACCAGCCCTTTCAACTCTTGTAGGTAAGTTGGACTAATGGTCATTAAGCACAACCCAAAACGATGTTATCAATTCAGTTTTCATATATGTGCTGATGCAGCAAGCCTAATAATATATTAATTCAATATTATGTCTGAGACAATTACTGACTTTTTAAATAACTTAACAGTCTCGCTGGCCCAAAACTTATTTTAATATTGTTCAATATTCTTATATTTTCTTAGGTCAACTATTTCCAAATAGTTGGAGGAATTTTTACAATCACCATTCCAACCAAGCAATATTTAAACTCCACTTAACTGAAGACATTTAAAAGGAATGACCACTCCTTACTGGATTTAAGCAATAAATCTTCCATAGCCATTTATGCTTCATCACGTCTGGAGTCTATTTTATAGCAGGCTTAAGATTTTGAAAACTGTAGTCATTTTATAATGTGTCTCCAGGTGAGTTTCTATTCATTTCCTTGACAAATATTTGCTGAGTGTGTCCTCTGTGACTGATACTGTATGGGAAATGTGGATAATAAAAGACTCCTGTGATTTATGAGATACCAATTCTAGTATATTGTGGGAATAAGTGGTAAAGTTGAATATGGAACATTTTGTTTAGTGTCAGTTCTTGTGTTAATAATATTAGAACTGAAACTAAATCAACTAATTAAAATTTTTTTGCATCTTTTGGAAATTTATTAATAGAAATGATATTTATAAACATATAAAACAAAGATTGAAAATACAAACTTAGACTAGATAATGTCTTTTTTGTGTAAAGTAATATAATAAAACACAATGTAGCAAGCAGCTGTTGCTGAATGGATTCAAATCTGGAAGATGAGACTTCTAATTTCTGATCTGAAGGCAACACTGACTTGTCGCTTCAGAAATGAGACCAAAGAATCCGAGGCAGCATTTATGGTGGTGTAGTTTGTTTTGCTTTGCTTTTAGATGTGCTTCTTAGGAATGAGTGGCTAAGCATTTCACTAGGTCATGCATAACCCAGATGACACACGCTGTACCACAAAAAACACAACAAACATACACACACACACAAAGGAAACATGTACAGTTCTGGTTTTTTGTTAATAAAACCTCATCTTTGAACAACCCACTTCTTTTTTCTGTGCTTATCCCAGAGCTCGAGTTCCACTTAGAAATGGCTCCGCTTAAATTTCACTAGTGTTGCCACTTTCTTTCCCCTCAGCCCCACAGTCTTCCTTCCCTCACGTGTCATCTTGTTCACTCCATCTTCTTATACAACCTTCAGCAGTTTTTCCTGTGGTTTTGTAATATTTTTTGTATTTACTGTTTCCAATTTAATGAACTCACTTCATGAGTTCATGGGACGGAGATGAGACGAACGAGAGACCACTTTCTGCTTCAAGTGATAAAGCTCAGAAGCCAGATATAGATTGGCTAGCTACATAGTCCATAAAACAGTAAATAAATGAAAATTTAAAGTACATTTGTATATGTGCAGACAAAATACCAAATAAATTAAAAATTTAAAATATTACTCTAGTTATTTTAAGTAGGGTATTTTGATTTTGGCTCTAGTTAAAATAGTACAATTAATAAAATGTAAGAAATTTTACAGCGAACTGTATGCTGAAAAATTGAATAGGAAATAGTTGTATTTTGAGTTGATTTGAACTAGCATGCCTATTTCAAGAATGACTAGTAACAAAAACTGCACTTTTAGTCATGTCGTTTTTCTGTATTTAGTTGTTGCAGGGTCTCACTATGCAGCTCGGGCCCATGGTGATCCTCTTGCTTTCAGCCTTGGATTACAGGCATCTCCACCATGCCTGCACTCGGGCTGGCTCAGCTCACCCTGGAGGGTGGGGCTAGCACAGCATGTGGTGCCAGGAATGGAGCCACCATTCCCTGCACTTGCCTAAGCTTGCCTAATAGGCACTTAAGTTCTCTGAGCTGTCTCACCAGCCCCATTAGTCATGTCCTGTACAATATTATCAATATACAATACATTACTAGCGATACACTATTATCTCACACAATTATTTTTAGAATGTTTTAGTAAATGAAAAC